AGTAATTAATTAGAGATGCCTCAGCCGGAAACGAGGGATATCAATCCAGTGCAATTGGAGTTCGATTTCACCACACTCGACATTGTTAAGCCTGAGAAACATAGATTGTGTAACTTTGCCATTTTCCCACTTAATAAAGCTATCTTCAGACAAGCAGTTTTCCCGGTTTGGTCTCACTTTCGTTACTATAGTTCCGCTTGGAATATTCTCCAACTTCATCTTCACAGCTTCTACAAACTCCTTTATGCTGAAATACGCGTCCCCCATTTTGTCGTCTAGTGTGAACGTATCCTTGTCGTAAACTTGCTGCAATTATATCGTAAACCACATATTTCTTTTTTAGAGCCCTTCTTTTTTTTACCGTAAAGCGATCGACTTCTTAGAATTGCCCGGAATTTTACTTTTTTATCATCTTGTTACAAATTGGGGAAGTCGGGAAGGAAAACAATACTCCAGTAATAATAGTTCTATAGAGGTACTTTAATAAATTTACTAATATAAAATTTCTCCATGCAATTAGTAGGTAAGTGTTGAAAATAGTTGGTCCATAGGTCATAATTAACTTCTTATATGAATTTGTATATTTGTAGATTTTAATTTACGAAGTCAACTTTTTTTTTTTTTTTAATTTCTTTTAACAATTCATAAACTTAGTATTTATTATTAATAATATGCACAAGTGGTTTTAGAAAGTAATGCTTGAAATATTGAAAAGCCACAAGTATGATCAACTTTGCCTAGTTCTTTTGAATCCCAGCCCTGATTTATTAATTTATTTTATACAATATAGTTTAAGTTTAAATTTTATATCAAGAAAATAATAAAAAAGGCTCAATTTGCTACTCTTTTTTAGGCCACAAAATAACTAGAGACCGACCCATGTTGTATTTTGTATTTTAAATTAAATTGTTAAAAAAAAAATAATCAAAAAAAAAAAGTCAATTCACGAGCTTTTAAATAATTAAATAATTAACTTACCAACTTGATTGGAATATTCGGATCCGAAATTGTTAACGTGAGCTCTTCATTCCACTCCGGGTTGAGATTCTTTTTCACCACACGAGTCTTTAATTTCTAATCCAACAATTTATTATAATAATTATTAATTACACAAAATTAAATGCAATTAATTACGCAACAACCAAAAAAAGATATTAAAATAAATTGATATGAAAAAAAAAAATTCTTGGGTTTTTTTTTTAATTAATATATTTTGTTTCTTCTTTTTTTTTTTTTGGTTTTGAAATCATCGAATTGGGTAGATAAAGATTAATTCACCTAAAAAAAATGGGTAAATTAATGAAATATATAAATTGAAATACCTGTTTTGCCATTCGAACAATAACGTAGGGATCGCTGCTTATGGCGTCTCTTATGGCAAGATTTATTCCTCTGATGATCTTAATTCTCAGTAAACCCAATATATTTTCCATGGCGTACTACACACTCTGTGTGTGTGTTTGTGTGTGTGTGTGTGAGAGAGAGAGAGAGAGAGAGAGAGAGAGTGTTTTGAAATTATTGGTAATAACGACGGGTTTAATTAGTTGAGTGGGTTTTAAATACTGGTGAAGAAGAAAAATAAATAAATTAGATGGCGACAAATGAAAAATGGGTGAATTGCGTTTTGCACCCCAGAATTAACTGTATTTGGAGTTTTCCACCCTAACATCTTAAAATTGGCAAAGTCCACTTTACCTCAATTTCTAGTGATATTTTAGCAAAAAATACTCAATATATCGCGATATTTTACACTTTTAAAAGAATTTTTACTATTCTTAATGTTTTTTTTACTTAATATTATTTAATTATTTTACTTGTATATATAATTAAAACATTTTGATGATTTATTTTATATGTTTTGCATCGAAGTAAAAAACGCTTATATAATTTCTAATTTTGATTCAATTTTAATTTTTAAAATAATTCAAATTCCTAATTTCCATAAAATTAATATCTATTAAGAAAAATAAAAAATAAAATAAGAAGCGTAGGACATTAGTATTATTTTTAAATGTCCGGTTGATATAAATTAAGTGTATTATTTAGAAAAGCCTTTAAATTATTACTTTCAGAAGTTAAATATCGCGATATATTGATTATTGGGCTTAATCTCATAAGAAATTGATGTGGACGTTACTATTGAATATGATGGTGCAAACCGCCAATTAGGATTACCCCGCCTAGGACC